TCAAAAGTAAGCTCCAACAAGCAAAGCCGAGACTTCACATAGAAAGATACGAGAGAAGAAGACATTGTGCAGCCTTGTGCAGACTACTTTCCTGAAGGAAAGCCAAAGAGAATTGACTTGGACATCAGTGAAATTGTGAAATTGCCCAAGGTCACGTGTTCTGAGACAAGACGAGAAATACAATTAGGAAAGGTTGACCAAGCAGAAGGTCAAGCGCTTGATGAAGATTCTCCGGTGGAATAGTTAGACCATGCCAGCAAACTACATGATGAGGAACCTGAAGGTGAAATTTCAAGTGCTGGTTGAACTTCTCATGAAGATGATGACGATAAAAGTGATAATTAAAATGAGCAAGATGAAGATGAGGATGACGATGAAAGTGAAATTGACCCTGAAAGGAGAGACAGAAACTAGTTCTGAAGAATTACTTCCAGGAGGATTTGCTTTTGCAGATGCTTAGAGAATTTAGAGAAAGATACCGCCTCGGGCTGATGCGATCACACATCAATGAGCTGTTTACAACAAGGACTCGGGTGTATTGAAGGCACAAGATTTGCTGGCTCTTTTCAGTTTATTTAATCCTAAAAGAGGTGTTATGTTTTCTGTAATGGTCTCTCCTTCAGAGTTTGGAAAGGAGAAGATGAAGGAAGAGCAAGTTCAAGGTCCAGTGAAGTTACCCTTCCTGAAGATGTCCCTGAAAAAGACTAGGCATTCACAGAAAGATTGAGAGATCATCCATTCAAAAGACTGAAATACTATTATGCAGTAGTAGACTTTGATGCTTCTGAAACCGCCAGTAAAATTTATGAGGATTATGATGGCCTAGAATTTGAAAAGTAGTTGTCCTCTCATTGATCTGAGGTTCATATCAGATGATAGTACTTTTGATGAGGAGTCCAAGGAAGTAGGTTCAGAAGTGGATTGAACAGCATATAAACCAAAGTATTTCACATCTACTGCAATGGGAACATCAATGATGGAGATCCCTTGAGATGAGACAGATCATCAAAGAATTACAGAGCTTGGCAGGAAGTTCAAAAAGGAAGAGCTTTTGGATATGGATTTTCAAGCCTATCTAGCTAATCTTTGGTGCTTCAAATTATATACATTTAGATGACTAAGCAAGACTTATTAACTAAACTATGTTTTGGGCTATAGTTTAAAGGGAAGAAGCAAAGTCATTCTTAAACAATCTGCAAAACATGCATACACACAATGTTATATGCCCCCGTAGACAATCCTTGAAATTTCTATTTAAATATATTTTTAACCAAAATTTCTTTAGCATAAACATTTTCTTTAAAACCGACTGAACACAAAAAAAGCTAGATTGTCCTACTTTGTATAGTATACAGTATTGTGTTAGTCTGGGTACTTTAGTGAAACAAATCCACAGAAACTCATGTATAAGAGAGAGTTTTATATAAAGGTTAAGTGCTCATCAAGAAAACATGCCAACCCAGTTCTGCCCAAGCCCATAAGTCTGGCATTAACCTTTTTGTCCAACACCAATCCACAAAGGTCTCCTCCATCTCACAAAACACACACTAGAGGCTGACTGCAGGAGGCAAGCCGAATCAGTGAACATGTAAGCATCTCAGCGCTGGTAGGGGTCTCCACACGGCTGCTCCAGCACCCAGGGCTGCATCAAGGTAGGTCCATGTGCTTCTCCTCAGGGATGTCTTGCAGGAAGTGAGCCTTGCCAGCTAAAGCAGGGAACTGGCTAAGGCAGCTGCATCCTGGTCCGACCATCAGAAAGCAAGAGACCCGAGAACTAGAAAGGTGAGGCTCACTGAGCCATTTATCCCTCTGCCCTTCAATTAACCCCATGTGTTTATCAGCCAGGTTGGCACAACAAACTAACTACTTCAAGTATCTTAACAAACTACTAAAGAAGAGCTCCTTTTGAATGTATTAAATATTTTACATTAAAAAATTGGGAAAGGTGTGCTTCAGAGTCATCTTACCATACTTATTGAATCTGTATGCTGAATTATATGAAGAAGAATGTGATATCAGGATCGAAGGAAAACTTTTAAACAACATCCAATATGCAGATGACACAACCTTGTTTGCTTAAAGTGAGGAGGACTTGAAGCACTTGCTGATGAAGACTAAGGAAGGCAGCCTTCAGTGTGCAGTACAACTCAATGGAAAGAAGGCCGAAATCTTCACAACTGGACCAATAGGTAAGTAACATGATAAGTGGAGAAAAGATTGATGTTGGCAAGGATTCTGTCTTGCTAGGAGCCACAGAGCTCATGGGAGAAGCAGTCGGAGATCAAACAATGCATTGCTTTGGGTAAATCGGCAGCATTCAGTGTTGAGAAGCAGGCATGTTACTTTGAGGACTGTCCTGCGCCTGACCCAAGCCATGGGGTTTTCAATGACTTCATCTGCATATGAACGTTGAACACTGCATATGGAAGACTGAAGAAGTATGGACGCATTAGAATTGTGGTGCTGGAGAAGAATATGGAAAGTACAGGGACTGCCAAAGGACAAACAAGTCTGCCTTGGAACAAGTATGGCCAATGTGCTTCTTAGAGGCAAGGATGGAGACACTTCTTCTCATGTCCTTTGAACATGTTGTCAGGAGAGACCAGTCCCCGGAGAAGGACATCGTACTTGGGAAAGTGCAGGGGCAGCCAAGAGACCTCAGCAAGATGGATTGACACAGTGGCTGCAACAGTGGGCTGAGCATGGGAACAATGGTGAGGATGGGGCAGAACTGAGCAGAGCTTCATTCTATTGTGCAGAGGGTTGCTATGGGTTGGGACTGGTTCTTTGGTACCTAACAACAATAACAATGTCCTTCAGCAAGTTTAATTGTTCTGGGACTTTTTCCCCTCACATATAAAATGGATGCAAAAATACCTATCTTCCATGGTACATGGGATCATAACATATTTTTAAAATAACAACTGGTATAATATATATTCTTTAATGTGTAGTTATAGTGGAATCTACTCTCCTAGCAACTGAAATATAAAGTGGAAACTCTTGGCAGTGTCTTCACAGTGTGTACTTGAACAGTATTCTGGAGAAGGCTATACACGACCTGAGTCTTTCCCTCCATGGGTGCTTTGGGCATTTCTTTCAAGGTTGGCTTGTTGAAAATCTGACACAAAGGAGACCCAGTGAATTACCAGAAAAGCGGTTATCTTTTCAGAGAGAAGCAAAGGAGCAACCCATCAGGTAAGAAATGCTCTACAGAGCAGCCACTGAGATGTTGCAGAGAAAGGTCACAGGCAGCCTAGTCTACTGTTGGCAAAGTTTCCCGTGAGCTAATTATCCACAATTCCCTGAGGAATTGCCTGGGATCTCTGTGAGGCGGGCCTGTGCTCCGAACTGACTAAAACAAGGTCCTCCATGTTTTATTGGATAACCTGAGTTTTTATTTCGGAGGATAACCTATTTGATTCATCAGGCTTTAAGACTGAAAACCAGTTCACTATGAGAGAGGTCGATTCTAGAGCAGCACGTTTCTAGCAGTGTGACACTAGTCCAATGACAAGGATGACTGGAAGTGTTTTAGGGTGGCCTGGAGGAGGCAGAGTTCATCCCCACTCTCAATTTGCCCCTCTGTCCATCTAGCTATTAATTAGGTTAATAAAAACAAATAGCCCATGGAAAACTTTGGATTCAGTCATTCTCACTGTAAAATGAAAGCTTTATTGTCCCTAAAGAATCCATGCTGGATTCTTAACAAAAACCTTCTAGACATGGCCCATACCTTTCTTCCCTCTACTCCTCATTCAAACATTCTAGTTTCCAGAAAATACCCTAAACACCAAGATCTTTCCTATTTGCTTGCTCTTACTTCATACCACTTTCTTACTTCAAATGCATCCACCCCACCACCCCCACTTTGTTTTCTCTATTTTATAAAACCATTATCAGCTCCAACAGGTACTTACTTGATTCCTGCCTCATTTTTGCCCAATACTTCATACCACCATTAACAGAACATTGACAGAGAATGGCACTGCACATTTGTCCCCTCTTCCTCATCATTGAGGGCATCCTATGCATTCTCACCAGCTTTTGTGTCCACACTCATCCTCACTTCAAATGCGGTGCATTCTATTGCTGGGAACCTCTTTTTGCCAATGGTTTTCCTATTTTTTGCCAATGGTTTTCCTATTATTAGAAGTCCAACCTGCTGCCATCCTATATGGACCACTGGTTTTCTTCCCTATCAGTTCATTGCCTAGGAGTCCTTCAGATACGAACAGGCTTTTCTTTATACAAGTAGAAATGAGCCATAAACAGAAATATTCTGACGGTGGGAAATATATAATTAATCAATTCTAAAGTACCAATAATTGGTAAGAGCAAAATTCAATTAGGGGATTCTAAGGATGGATTCCTGGTGGTACTAGGTTGGGGGTTCGTACCCACCAGATGCTCCCTTGGAGAGAGATGAAGCTGCCTACTCCACAAAAGATTTACATTCTTGGAAACCCTGCCTCCTGTTACTGTGAGTTCGAATCCACTCAATTGCGGTTGCTTTTGGAAGGATGGCATCAACAATAGCAAAGACACCAGGTATATGAGGACACCAAAAATATGAGCTCATAGCAAGAGCACTGGGGCAGGAAATGAAAGATGAGTTCTAATGTGATTTATGTTTTCTGAATCTTTTTTCTTTCAACCTGGAAAAGGAGCAATTTGCATGATGTATAATTTTACTTACTAGTCTAACGGCAGAATTCTGTCTGCAAATGATCCTGTTCACCTGGGTTGTCTTCAGCCTTTACTTTGGCTTAAATGGCTTAGTTCTGGGTGGGCAAAGGGCTGCACCTGCATCAGTGGCTCCAGTGTCCTAGGTAAATGATCGTGGTGCCAAAGAAGCCATGTCTTACACCACCCATCATCACATCGGTCAATGCAGCCCTTTCTGCCCACCTGGTTTGCACCTTCCTTTCCCTGCCAGGAAGCCCTGCTTCATCAGAGCTATTGACGGTTTTTGGGTCATAAATCAAGGATGCAGGTAACACATTTATTCTGAGTTTATTATATATTCTCCTTTCCTGGAGTTTTGCAAGTAAAATATTGCATAAGAACCAAGTCTTTCTTTGTCCTAAGTTCCACCCCACAGAACCAGGTCATATTACAATTGCTTGATGCACAAGATCCAATGATTTAATAAATACTTTATAAAAATAAGTAAGATTTTTTCTTTTGTAAAACATTAAACATTGAGGATTTTAGTAAAATTATCGCATTGTGTAAATATTGCTATTTTATTAAAACATCATTTGATATGGTTATCAGACCGCAGATTTGCCCCTAAAATACCCATTTCTTTCCAGGTTACACTCAGTCAGAGGCCAGGGCGTTTTGGAGGGCCAACACTTCAGCAAGATGCTTTGTGACTAAATAACATTTGATTTCCAGTGGCTTTTTTTTCCCGGTCTTGCTACAGTTCCATTGACTTTTTCTTTTCAAAGAAATCACAACAAAATTCCCTTTTTCTTTCGCTTTCCTAAGCTTATTTCTTTCTGTCTTCTTTGTGAAGTGATTAAATAATTTTATGACCCCTCCATAGAAAAGGTTATGCTTAAGTCACATTCACATTAAATAAGTTATATATAGAACCTGCTCATCCTGTTTGCACCTTCAGCTTCGCTCCCCGTTTACTCCTCTCAGAAATACTGGGTCAGGTGTGAATTGAGCCCTGGCCACTGTCCTCTACGGGTTCTTCTGGCTGCTCTGCCAGGCCATGCCCACCCTGCCCCCCAACCTGGCATAGATCATAGACCATATCCAAGAGGGCTGTAGGCAGTCACGATCGCAAGTGTGGCTTCAGATGGCAGTCACCTGAGCCTGCTGCACACCTCTCACGTAGTGATGAAAAATATTCACGTAATATATACACATATACATGTATGCAGCTAAGGAGGGTTTTGCTCCTGGCGAGCAGATCAGTGCAGTGCCTCTGTGTCACAAACGCCGGAGGTGGCGCCCCAGCTCTCTCGCTCTCTCTCTTATTCTCAGCCTCTAATACTCCCTGGCCTCTTGAAATTGCTTGGAGTAGTCTTCATCTGAAGGACTCTCGGTGCACTTTTGTCCATTGTTGGGAGGCCGAGCCTCGTTATACCTGCTCCAGTCTCCCTTGCAGATAATCCAGGGCAGAACGTCCACTTTGTAGTGGAGCTCTGCCGAGAACTCTGTGCTGATGAGGTTAGGGGTCCCAGCTCCTTTGCCCCTGGTAATAAGCTGCATGTTGTCACCATAGCAACAGTGCTGGGCAGCCAGTGTGGTGCTCTCTAGGGATAGCATGGACCTGATGCAGTACCGGGCTGTGGGTTTGTAAATCTCTAACTTTTCCTTAGGCCCACTGGCGTCCTTCCAGCGGAAGTCCTTGTGCTTGATGCGATCAAAGATGTCTGCTGTGCTATAGGCCACTTCGGTGGGATAGGCACAGGGGCAGCTGGGAAGGTCATTGATTACCTTGTGCATATACTTCTTCAAGAACTCACTTTTGCAGCTCATCCATCGCTCACAGTTGTCCGTGTCTGAAAAAGACCACAGAGAAACCCTCTCACCACATGCAACACTGGACTGCGGTAACGGTGTCACCTCCCTTTTTGAGCTCCAGTTGCCTGCAGCTGCCCGATGCGCCCAGGCCCCGGAGGGCCAAGTTCATCTCTCTCGGACCTGGAGATGAGTGGGGGCTGCTTGCTCCAGAGGCTTTCCTCTCCCTTTATCTTATGAGGACATTTTAAAAACATATAAACGTAGAATAATATTTGTATAATGAGTGTCTATTTGCCATCATTTAATTTTGTGAAAATATATGACTCTATGATCCATAAATTATTTCAGTAGAAAATAAATATGAGGAATATTTTCCTAGCCTACTATAATCCCATGATCACCCTAACAAAATTAACAATAATTCAGAGGGTCATTTTTAATCTCCTCTCTAAACAAGTGGTGATGTAGTAGAAATTCCACAGGGGGGTGGGGGAAACCAAAACATTTGAAAGTCTAGAGTTTAAATCTGTCACTCGCTTCTGGTTTAAACGAGGCCTAGCCTTTTAACCCCTTAACCTTGGATGTTTAAAAATCATTGTACATAATTGTATAGAAAATGCTTCAGTGAGGATGGAGAAAGGTGCTTTTAGGGGACTTAACATTTTAGTTGGAGTCCCTGGTGGTGAGGTCCCAAGTTCAGTGAGCTTGGTTGCTCACTGAAAGGTTAGAGGTTCGAATCCACCCAGAAGTGCCTCAGAAAAAAGGCCTGTTGATGATGTTTTTTACAATACTTTTTGATTTATCTTAGTATTAAATACATAACCACTGCAAGCAGCCAGATATCAACCCTGCTGGGGAAGCAGCGTAGAGAACACACTTCAGAGCTTCCCTCTTCACGGTGTGAGGGGTCAGAGCATTTACCACTGGCTCCCATCAACAGCTGAGGCAGGGCTGCTTTGGGACATTCTTGACTGAGACACTTCCAGCCACCATGCTTTTCTGGGCAAGGAAAGCCTTCAGAAGAACCTCAGGGGCTGCCATGAGCAGGCCACGCTGGTGTGCAGGGACATGGTGGGGACATCAAGGGGTTAAAAGCTGGGTGTGGTAGTTCCATAATCTCCTGTCAACTTGAGCAAAGGGATGGAGTCTAGCCTGTCAATCAGGTCATAGCCAATGATGCCTCTGCTTGGGCATGGCTTTCTCCTGAGGATTCTGGGAACTCCTGTCTTCCTCCCTGGAGGAGGGACACACACTCTCTCTGCTTCACATTCCTGTTGACAAGCCACATGGAGCCACCCTGATGGCAGCCAGATCCCTGGAGGTGCGTTCACTGCCATTGGACACTCAGGACTTTCCCTCCACAGGCCTGTGATCTTCCTGAATTCAGCATCATTCCAAGTGCTGTGTGAGTCTAAAGAGGAATTCATGGGCTAATATCGACATATGTGCTAATTTTGAACTTATCAACTGGATCTGGACTGGGCTGGGGTATTTTATTGATGCATAATTATTTCTTGATATAAAATTCTTTCTTGCACATATATGAGTGTCAATGAATTTATTTCTCTAGGTTACCCGGACTAACACACTAGGCATGTATGGCACCTGTCTCAGGATGTTGAAGTAAGTAAGTTCAGGTGTACAAAGGGAGATAATGAAAAAGGTTTGGAAACAGATGGTGATTATCCATAATTGTGAATGGATGCCAGTGAATCGGTTAAAATGTCAAACTCAAAGTTATATAAAGATACGTATTTTTTATTGTAATGAAGGAAAATTAAGAATAAAATCTTCTGATTGGTATTCAATAAGAGAAAGTCAGGGAAGCTTTAAGACACCTACGCAGTACCTAAGGCCAGGTGGGGCTATGTGGTGGCTGGCCCGAGGCAATGATTGAGCATGACGGGGCTGTAAGAGCCAATGCTTTCCTCTCCAGCCTGGGAGTCCTGCAACCGGCAGCCTGAGGCTGAGGACCCCTCGCTGCATGGCTGAGACGCTCTCAGAGCTTCCTTCGGCTCTGCACCTCCAGTAGAGTCCTTCCCTCTCTCCACAGATGCCCGGCCTGCACCTTAGCTTAGACTAGTGGTTCTCAACCTTCCTAATGCCGCGACCCTTTAATACAGTTCCTCATGTTGTGGTAACTCCCCAACAACACAATTATTTTCATTGCTACTTCATAACTGTAATTTTGCTACTGTTGTGAATCAGGTGAACCCTGTGAAAGGGTTGTTTGACCCCCCAAAGGGGTCGCAACCCACTGGTTGAGAACCGCTGGCTCAGACGCTTTTCCTGAGGAGTCCCACGCCCTGTGCCCTTGATCATTCACAGGCATTTCTCCCCAAAAATTGCACGTCTGATCCCACCTGGGCATTTGCTTGTCGGAGAACCTAAATTGGCATCATCTACAAGAACAAAGATAGGAGCAGAGACAGGGGAGAGCACTGTGGGAAAATGTAAAGTGTGCAAACCAAGGTATAACAGAAAGATTGGGGTGGCGATGGCTAGGGCTGGGGTCTGGAGCAGAAGATAGAGGGGAATAAGGTTGTTGGCGTCACATCATGGAGATCTTCAATAAAGCTTGTAATGATTTCTTATTTTTCTCTTACTTACTTTTAAATAATATCTCATTGCACTTGTGGTTAAGATTTACACAGCAGTTTAGGCTCCTTATTCAGCATTTCCACACAAGTGGTTCAGTGACATTGGCTACATTCTCTATAATGTATAGACATCTCATTACTTCCATCCAGGTTGGGTTTTGTCCCCATCAATCTAGTTTCCCTGCCCCCCTTACATGCTCATCCTTGTTTTAAAGTAATTATTGACCATTTAGTCTTAGAAAGGTGGTTTTAAAGGCACATGGTATTGCTGGTAATATTCATTACTGTTTAGCCAATTTGTTATTTAGGAACAAGGTGACCTCAGGCATTAGTTTTGGTTCGAAGTTTGAAGAGTAACTCAGGGCAACTTAAGGCTCTTCAAGTCTTAAGCAGTCCAGTAGGTCTAATTTGTTCGATTTTTATTAGGAATTTGAGGTTTTATTATCCATTTTTCTCCAGTTCTAACAGGATTCATTGATTGTGTCCCTGATCAGAAGAGTTGGTAGAAGTAACTGGGTACCATCTAGTTCATTATTTTATTTAATTTTTTTAATTTAATAAATCATTTTATTGGGGGCTCTTACAGTTCTTATAACAAGCTATGTATCAATAGTATCAAGCACATTTGTACATATGTTACCATCATCATTTCCAAAACATTTTCTTTCTACTTGAGCCCTTGGTATCAGCTCTTTTCCCCCCTGCTTCCCCCATGCTTCCACCCTCGGGAACCCCTAATAATTTATAAATTATTTTTATTTTCATATTTTACATCATCTGCTGTCCCCCTTCACCCACGTTTCTGTTGTTCATCTCCCTCGGCGGCAGGAGGGGGGGGGGCGAGTTTGTACGTTGATCATTGTGATTCGTTCCCCATTTCCCCCCCTTCTCCTCCCACCTTCCCCTTCCCCTTATGGTATTGCTACTCTCAATATTGGTCCTGAGGGATTTACCATCTAGTTCTTGAAGGTTGATGAGGTAATGGTTTGTGTAGGTTATTTGTCCTGTATACTATAGTGGGTTATTTACTGATCTTTATAATAAGAAAATGAATTAAACATTGATAACTCTTTGGATGATAGTAAAGAAAACAGGAGAAGCTATTGTAAGGATCCAGGTAAGATACCCTGGGGAGTGAAAAGCAAGTAGGATCAAGAGTAGTCAGAGACAAAAGAGAACAACAAATACTGAAGAGGGTGTGAAGAGACTGGAACTCTTATGGACTTCTGGTGGGATGTAAACATGTACAACCATTGTGGAAAACAACGTGTGCTTCCTGAAACAACTGGGATAGAAATACCACACGAGGCTAGCAATACATCTTCTGGGCATATACCCTGTGGTAGTCACCTAATCTGGGGTCAATTTAAGGATTAAGAGTTTAGGGGTGGAGTCTAGTTTGTCAATCTGGAGATAGCCAATGAGACTTCAGTGGGCATGGCGTTCTCCTGAGAACTTTAGGAAATCTGGTACTTCCTCCTTGGAGGCAGAAGACACCTCTCTCTCTCTCTGTTTCTCCCTGGGAGACTTTGCAGAAGACAAGCCATATGGATGCAACCAGTCCTCGGAAGCTGGAGAAACCACAGAGAGACCCCTGCCAGCACTTAGATGCTTACAATGCCACTGGACTCAAAGACTTTCTACCCACTAGCTTGTGATCGTCCTGCATTTGGCTTCATTGCATGTGTTTTGTGAGTCTGAAGAGGGCTTTATAGATTGGTATAGGACATATGGGTTAATATCAGACTTATGGCCTTGGACTGGACTGGGTTGGGATGTTTTCTCAATATTCAATTCCTCTTGTATATAAACCTCTCCCTTATATACATATGCATGTTTATGAATTTGTTTCTCTAGTCTACCCAGACTAACACATACCCCAGAGAAGTAAAAGACAGAACATGAAGTGAATTGCAGCACAGTTCACAATAGCAAAAAGCTGGAAATAGCCTACTAAATGAACAATAGAAGAATGGATAAAGAAACTCCGCTATATAAACACACCGGAATACTAAAAACAGTGATGAAACCACAGAACACCTCATGACATGGATGGACCTGGAAGCCATCATGCTGAGTGAAGCTAGGTAATCACAAGAGGACTAATATTGTATGAGTCTACTCCTCTAAGGATAGAATCCAAGACAAAGACAGACTTCTCAAGTCATGTAGTATTTAATCTGGTTCCCCAAGCAAAGAGGTAGTGTGCCTGCCTAGTTCCCATGAACCACATATTACCCCCTTATTTGAGCATCTTTAAAACCACTTCAAGAAATGTGGCCTCACTCCAGATGGGTTCAGTTTCTCATATTATGGGAGAAAGAGATCAATCCATTCCTTCCAAATAGCAGTGTCCCATAGTCATTTCAAATCAACAGAAGTTCCTACAATAGTAGTGAACCTTAATGGGAACTCAGATCAAGAAGAGTGGGGGACAT